CCCATCATGACATGCACGTTGTAAGTAGTCACACCCTGAAGTGTTACTTAGCCCCAAATCAACTCTTTTATGTGGATTAAGGTATAGAGGAAGATCTTTTATTTCATGGTAGATCATCTAAATAAGTGGTCCTCCTAATTGACAATCATTCTGGTGATATGTTTATGTATTCTGGTCCTACGTACTCGTCCCAGTTAGCTATCTTTTTCTGTGCATGCACACTTTCAGATGTATGAGTTGTGAGCTACGGTTTCAGACAATCACTGAAGCTCACCTTTTTCACCTGGCTCTGTGTCTACGAAGTATATCAGAAGAAAAGAAAGGCCTTCGAAAAGGCAGCTATATATCTTAATGGTTTACACGGAGAGCTCTCCGCTATGGGATTTTCTGTCACAACGGCCTGCTGTCACAATAGGCTGTCGCCACATGACAGCGACAACTAATAACAGATGGTGCAGGTGCCACGCAGTGGAGGAGGAGTTATGTGACCAGCAGGGAGCAAAAAGCAGTGATCTTCTGTCCAAACAGTAAGTTAACTCAGTTCACTATAAAGTCCACTATATAGTCCCCGCTCTATATAGTGATTGAAGGATTTAGGAGTTAGGGCGGATGTGCGGACACAGTAAACTTGTATGAACCATGAGAACAGCAACTTTAAAACAGACCATGCACGAGGAGAAATTGGCTCGTGCATGCTCTTCCACGCGTGGAAGAGCATGTCTTTTAAAAAATTTGGGAAAATCCTCCAAAATACCTTTAATAGTTTAAACTGGTTCTATGGATTATTGCATTTTTTTTTTTTACATTTTCACAAGTTAGTTCTGCTATTTGACTCAAAGAAGTCTTTTTGCTGCTCTGTGTGAGTGAATGAAGGCTTTTGGTGTTCATTTTTTCTGTTGGTTCAAAGTGCACATAAAATACCGGCTTTCATCATTAAAGCCCCGTGTTCGAGTATAAATACAACTGATCCAGAAACATTCCTCCTTACAGAGTTATGCTGTCCTCCACTGCATTGGCAGTACTGATTTGGGTGTTGTTGAGGCAATGAGATGAAGCAAATGGCTGAAATTAATAAGGGTGCAGTCTACTGGGCTCCACAAAGACTCCCTCAACCGGTGGTGTTTAGGGGGATAAAACAACTTCCATCCCAAAATATCTGTCTGTGGTGTAATTATATTCCCACTGCACACTGCTTTAACATGGTTAAGCTAAGCTAGGCTACACAGGCTGCCACTTGTTTTCCTCCTGGCCACTCCCTAAATCCCCAGGGTATCTTAGCATTGAACATTTTGGATCCATTAAAAAATAAATAAAACAATAAAGGGAGTGGTGTCGTGTTTTTAAATGGGGCTACTGTAGTTACACTTTAGAGTAAAAGTATGTCAAAGTACTTTTTTATTTAATTTCACCATTCTGTCTTCTTGGAGTCAGTCAGCATTCTACACCTTCCTACATTTGGTAACATTTGCCTTTTGTCTGTCATGATTTAGTCTTAGACGTAGACAAACTTTATTGCCAGTGTATACAAAACTAAATTTCGTTCAGTACAGCTCTCAAGACATTTCCATTTCTTAAAGTGCAGGAGTGATAAAATGTAAACAGGATGATCAAATGTAAACATAAGACTGAGATATGATTTACAGTTTTTCCAACATTCAGTGCTTTGTCCCATTTTTTTTTTAACATTGAGCGGTCAAAATGCAATCTTAAAAGCAATGTTATAAAGTTTTTCATATCCAGCAGAATTTTAAAACATATCTAGTTGATATTCTTCTTCATGACCAGATCAAAATAACTTCTGGACTTGTCTATTCCAAAGCAGCTAATTCAAATGGCTGAATTACCTCCCCAGCATGCCATCCTATTCCACAGTAGGCTAATTTTGCTTTGATTCTCTGTGATATAGAAAAGAAACATTAGATTCATTTTCCTCTTTAACGTTCTATAACACTTAAAGTCTGGGACATACGGAGTGTACAGGAGATTTTCATTTTGTGATATTTAGAAGAAAACTAATGCCAACCAAATGCTGCAGACTAATAGGTAGAATGTTCTAAATTTTCTTTGAAAATCTCTTCTTTTTAGGTAAATTGTCAAAGGATTAATGTCATATTTAGGGTGGAAAGAGTTTTTAGAATATTTATTATTTTATTTACCTCACAAATCTTGGCCTTAAGAAGCATGCATTGCAAAGTCACTTTACACCACAAGTGTAAAAAACAAGTTGACTGATTAGTTCTCTCACAGAGGGCCATTTATTTTCTTATAGTGGCTCTATTGTGTGAAGCGCCAGTGATCCTTCATCACTCCTGCCCAAAGACCTGCCTCCTGTCACAGCACCATGGCTGTGGGGGCGTTATTTGGTACATGCATGGTACAATATTTCCAACCAACAAGCTGATCCTGTCCAGCCCAAACCATGAAAACACACATGAGATCATGTGCTTCATGATTCATCTTTTCCTCCTGCAGCCCTCTGAGGTGATAAAAACAAACTCTGTTTATGTAAAAGACGGAATTGGTTGCTTTATAGTTTTGGTTGTAATAACCTGGCCAGAGCAGCCCTGAGGGTTGCTTTAAGGCACATTGAATATCAAAATATTCTTTGGACACACTTTTTTTTTAAAATAAATGTTACGTTTTTTTGCCTTTATAAATAATCATGATCACAGACCAGGTGCTTAGCAAAAGTATTTATATCCCTGACTTCTCTTTGTCACACTGCATATATTGTTAGGAATTTATGCAACACACCATCACAAAACAGGACTGATATATGTTTGCATTCAACTCCTTTTGTCTGAGACCCATAGATAAAATTGTGTTACAAATCATCTTTAGAAGTCAGTGTATTAGTTAGTATGAGTGCAGCTGTTTTATGTGGCCTCAGAGGTTGGCTTAAGGGCACTGGTGAATAAAAAGCATCATGTTGATCAATGAAATCAGCAAGCAGGGCAAGGAAATGTTGGAGAAGTTTGAAGCAGAGTTCAGGCAAGGCAAGGCAAATTTATTTGTATAGCACAATTCAGTATAAAGACAATGCAAAGTGCTTTACATGATTAAAATATAGGAAAATAAAGCAGGATCAAAGCAAGTGGGAAAAAATGAAGTAGTAGAAAGACTATGGCAACTATAAACTAACAGACAAAGCTTTTTATCTACACTTACAGGTCGGGTACCTGTGGTACCTCTGGAAGAGCTGCAGAGATCCACACCTTATATTGCAGACATGTGTGCGCTTAGATTTAGGGCTTTCTGGAAAACTGTCAAAATTGTTGTACTGTTAAAATAAAATCCCAAATAAGTCTTGTTTACACGTTGCCACAACTGCTAATGTGAGACTAAACACAAACTTTTTTTGCATCGTCGTGTGGAGCAGCTATAATGTTATGAACACTTGTAGGACCCACGTGCTTAGATTGGAGCTTGCTTTTGTTATTTTTGTTTTTTTTAGCAGGAAAGATATACATCAGATATAGAAATAAAACATAGACTGCAACATACAAGACTGCAACATACATTTACTTTCCACAGTAACAGGGATCAAACTGAAGCTATGGTAAGACTGTGAAGATTTGTGTTCATATACTGTAGATGCTTCCTATCCTTTCTAACTGAGCTACTTTTCAAAGCAAATTGAGCAACAATATGAAGCTTTTAGGTGTACAAAGTGACAGAGACAAATCTTTAATAAATGTGGTTTATCAGCCTCAAGAAGGGGTTGTGCAAACTATTGGCTCCATGAGGCTAAAACAAATATACACCACACTTTTAGTTTAAAAAAATGAGACTGTTTTATGTTTACTTTAGAGTAATGCAGTATGTTATGTTCGTCTGTCACTAAAAAACACTTAAAACATTCAAAGGTTTGAGATTGTAATGAGACAAAATGTAAGAAAACTTCAATGTATGGTTTCAGAAGGTACTGTAAGAGTATTCACTAATAGATCTACATTATAAATAAAAGAATGTGTACTCCACCAGC